TACAAGTTATAATTCCAAGTTGTGGGCAGCTTACGAAATGGACTTTTAGAGAAAGTGATTCATAAGAAGAGTAGTTTCGTTTTTTAATCTTTGTTAAATACGAATGAAAGTACTTGTAGATTTAAGTTTAAGTTTCATGTTCATTTTCTGGTTAGATGTTTGTTTGTGTTTAGAATAATGATCATTTTTTCCCAGCCGCCAGTGTCCGTGAGGTTCAGAGCATACTAGCCGCTTATTGTTGCTCAAGAGCATTGACAAGTGGCTATTATCACCACTGAAGTACGGGGAAGTTAATTACATATATATTGTAAAATGTAAGTAATATGAATTTGTTGTCTTCATTAGAAAATTAATAACTTTATAAACAATAATGAACTTTTTATAAATGAAATAGTAAAATCACAATAGTTAAAAAAAAATAAGAATTGTCATACAATAGGAAAAAATAAACATATTTTGCATATTCCACTTTCTACCAACAAATATTATTGTGCTTTCTTGAAATTGTCTTCTTTTAAGCACTTTAACAATGGTAATGATCTTCTAATCCATTCGCAATCTTGACATAATGTTCAAACGTCTACACTTTCAAAATTCTGATTGTTTTCAATAACAATCATTTAGAATATTAGAGTTTATAATTCCTTATTTGCCTTTAGAATTCTCAACACATAGAATCAAGATCTACTATTGAGAAAACACTATCCACACAGCTCCCAACATGACCTACAGCCACACATTTCAAACATGATTGTCATTTCAAAAGTAAACCCTATGATTATGTGTAGATTATATATGTTGGAAGTTGTGCGGTTAGTATCTTGTGGGCAGCAGCTCTGGTCTCCAACGTTATATACCATTGGGTTGAACATGTAAACAATTCACTGAATTCCCAATTTGATAAATGGTCTAGTATCTATATTGTCCACAAAGAGTCAAAGATCCCTTCATTTGGCAGAAATGGGTAGGTTTGTGCAGAGAAACTCGCTATGAGTGCAGTTTTGCAAGAGGAAATAGTGGAAATTAAATGAAAGGAAAAAGTGCAGAGAGAAGAAAGTAAATGGATTATATTTTTCACATGGTGGTGGTTTAGCCAATTGCAGTAGCAAAATAGTTGCTTTGACGTATTTTCTAGTTATTATACTTTATGTTATTTCTGAATTTATTTATATTGGGCTTGGGTATATTTTGTTTATTACTATTTATTTGTAAGCAAGGTTCAAAGTATTGATGACATGTATCGGCCCGTATTGGCCGATATGTATCATTTGGGGAGTTCTTCGATACGCCCCTACAGAAGGTGTATTGGGGTTGTAACCGGTTCAGGGGGTGGAGGAGCCTTAAACCGATGAACTGATTTAGAAAAAATAAAAATAAGTAAGAAAAGTATTGGTATAACCCGATATGCCCTTACCGGTGTATCAAGCATATTGATATTTTGAACCTTATCTCTAAGTATTTTGATTTCAAAGCATCTCTATTATATTTCTAGTTTTGCATTTAACCATGTTCTATGATGTGTGAATTAGTAACAAAGATTTTCATTCACACCTCCTACATCACTGCATGCATAACTTCTCAGGTTTTACAGAATGAATAATTGAAACTTGAAAGTATGGAATTGTTAAATATAAATAATTCTTAAAAATATAATATAAGATAGTACAAAAGTAAAGAAATAAGGTCAATAATGGAATAGTGTATAGGTAATATAATAGTGTAAGGGCATGTACCACGTACATTAGTATGTAAGGAGTAAAGATATATAAGCTCATGACATTGTATAATTAAATTTAACTTTTATGAAGCACAAAAAATCAAGGCAAAGTATCCGTTTTATATATTATAGATAATAATAATATATGTAAAAGATAATAAAATTTTGAAAGAATAAGTCCATGTATAACATGGAAAATATGGTAGGAAGCTCGGAGATTTGACTTACAAATGAAATCACCCTGAACGACCAGCTAGGCAAATAATCTTCTTCCTGAATTTTCCTAATAAGCATCCTAATTATGACTGATTGAATGCACCATTACTTGGTGCCAATGGAGAAAATAAGTGTAAGGGATTTTTGCTCAAAATTTAAGCTATTCCAAATAGATTTTTTTTTTTTTTTTGGGGTAAGTACGCAAGGAGTAATTCCAACCAGATTTTTTTTCCTCAAAAAACTTCCAACCTGATTTGTTTAATAAAACCCTACTTATCTTAGGCTGTGTTTGGTAACTTATTGGACCTTTAAAAAAGTTTTCTTTAAAAAGTGAGGTAATGACATTTGGTGAGCGTTACCAATATTCCTTATTAAAAAAGAAAAAAAAAAAAAGGAGAAGCAAGAGTTTGGCAACAATGGTAAGAAATCCTTAGTTTGAAACACTGTATTTATAAATTATTAAATAAATATATTTGTTATTCTTATGTTTATCTCTTCTTATATAAAAATAATAAAAAAAAAGTCTTGGTTGTTTGCAAGGCAAATTTCTTTTTTTCATTGATGTAAATGCATGCAGGTACAAATAGGTAGAGTGTAAATTCCAGTTTATACTTGCTCCAGATTTGACCGTCTTATTTGTTTATGAGAAGTAAAGTAGGAATGAAAATGATGTATTTTCCACTTTTAGTTGTTCATGATAGATAGGTCACAGGGAGGGTTATTTGTTTGGGAGTGGTGTAGCAACCAAGATGGCATGATCCTGATCCCCATATATGAAGGTAGTAGAAGTGGTGTAAATTTTGCATCAGTTTTTGAGATATAAAATTTGTATTGCTAATGAATCATCTAAGACAAAATATACAAATTTTGTATCAAATAAAAATGCAAATCATAATTATAAATAAATACAAAATTTGTATTTGATTCAAATTTACACTGCAAACAAACATAGCACGCAATTGTATTTCATAAGCTGCATCCGCTATATTCCATTGTGTGTCATTGTTCCGTTTTCCTACCAACCACGATGGAAACATAATGGTATGTATAACATGTTATACAAATACGGCCCCAAATTTTAATGCAAATGAATTAAGCACTGCTACACATTTGAGTTCTTTTAATGCTACTGTACTGTAGTTTTGACCAATCATTTGCTTTTTGTACTAATCCAATTTTGCACATCTATTGGAGATCTTACCCTATATTTGCTTGCATTTTAAATTTTAACTGAATATTAATTTTGCATTCGGTTCAACTTTGCATGTTTATTTGTAACTATGATACTCACTTCTACCTAATAGAAAATTTGTATTTTTTGTCTCATTTTCAGTCATTGCTAGTGCAAATTTTACATCCCAAAAATTGATGTAAAATTTGCACCACCTTCCTATATTACTTTTTGTCCCACTTTATCTTAATTGTCATGTCACATCATCTTGCTTCCTACATTGCTTCTATAAAAATAACGCTCCTATTTCTGTCCTCTTTCATATAAAGTGGGGATTTTTTTCCCAGAAAAAAAAGTGGGTATTTTTTTTTCATTTTATGTTCTATTTTACTTCTCACAAAGTCACAAACAAACAAAATTAAATCTAAAATCTGGAATTTACGTAACCTATTTGCACCTCTATCTATCCATTTGCACCGGTGCAAGTAAAAGTTCACATGGCAAACAAATTAACCAACTAAAGTCCGCATAAGTAACAATTAGCAAAGTAGTATAATATTTATCCAACAGAGTAAATTCTTTTATTTCATAAGTATAATTGCAAATTTGTAAATATGGAAGCAACCAAGCTAGAAAAAAAAATAGTCCGCACCGGCTCACTGTAGTCAAATTGCCGACAAAGCACTAGGTTAAAAATGTCCATGCCTTAATATTCCATAATTAATTATTCTATTTTCTTACCTATTTAAGGGGGTTTCTACAATATTATAAATAAATGTTTTTGTTTTCATCTTTTTAGTTGCCACATCAGCAAAAAAAATGTTGAATTATGTTATTGTTTTGAGAAGTAAAAATAAGTCGATCGGTTTTGATTTAAACAATCCACATTTTTTAAATCATAAAAACAATGTTTTTTGAAACAAAAAAAAAAAGGAACACAGATATGATATGAGATATATGAAACATGTTATTAATTATCAAATGAAAAACTTCCTTATTTAAATCAGAAATTTAATAATACTTTCCCTCTCAGTTTTCAAAAAAAAAAAAAAAAAAAAAAACACACACACACAAAATCAAGAAGGCAAGAAGTGCTTTTATGCTTTTGTTTTAAGAACAAATCTGTTTCCAAATCAATGGTTTTGAAACTCACGACAAGAAAAGCAATTCATATTAATAGAAATAAATTATATTTTTATTGTGGTTGGATTATATCCTATTAATTCATTTGATGTAGGAATAAATTTAAAAAAAAAAAAAACAGATTAATCCAAAAAAGATTAGAACTAGGTATGCCGTTTGGCAAGTCTTTTTTGATAGATCTTTTAGAATATTTGATGGCCAAAAGACATAGTGAATTTTTATATAATGATCTTGGCAGTCTAAAGATCGATTTATTGGAGGTATGTCTTTTCGTGCAAAGACGAGACTTTGGCAAATAAAAAATTAAAGAGAGAAGTCCATTTCTTGCTTTCCGAAATAAACTTGAATCAAGCTTCTCGTGTATTTCAGGGTGCGATCTTTAGGCGAAAAGATATTTTCCCAAAGAAGCAGCTTCTAAAATGCTGACAGTCTACATGGAAAGATGCACTAAACGGGACCTAATAATTAAGATCTAATTTTTAATATTAATGGTATTTATATAAAATAAGGTAAATTTTAATTAAAATATTTCTTATTAATAAGTTTTCCATTTAAAAATTTTTATTTTCTATTTCTAAAAGATCTAAATCATTCAAAGGTTCTTCTCACACTACTCTCTGTGTCTGAATCAAAGCCTGCAACAGACGGCTAACAACGCCGTTAGAGGAGACGTCATCTTAATGAGCGGTGATCCTAGCGTAGAAGTAACGGAAAAGGTAACAGCGTCAGATACAGCCAAAATCACCTGGTCAATATCAGTCAAAGAAAATGCCTTCTCTTGCCTCCTTTAAAAACCTCTTCATCTCTTCTATCGAAGCCGAGACGAAGGACGAAAACCGATTTACATGCACGAAACCCGTTTCGGACATCGAAAACCGTCCGAAACCCGTTTTGTTCTCTGCAAATCGCAAAGCTTTCATGGCGGATGATCAGGGCCTGAAGGCTCCGAAAGAAGAGAGAGTGACAGAGGAAGTAGAGCAAATTGAAGAGTCAGAAGAAGAGTCAGAAGAAGACGAAGAGGAAGGTGAGGAGTCAGAAGAAGAGAAGCCTCTTCCCAAGTTACAGGAGTCTTCTCTTACTGTGTCTGTACCCGATCGTTCTTCGCTGGAAGCGGAGTTACGAGACCAGAGTTCTCAGTCAGAAACCCTAGTTGTACCGCCATCGATTCGATCGTCTAAGAACGATCATGACCCTGATTGTCGTACTTTCTCCCAACTACTCGCCGGTGCGATGGCGTCTCCGGTGGCGAATTCCACGGCGGCTTTCTCTGATGGATTGGATGTCAAACCGATGATTTCTACTGTCCATGTCGATTCCTCAGGGTTTCCGATGGTCTGCTCACCAGTGTCGCTGGACCCAGCAGGATTCAAGGTTGTGAACATTTCTTGTGAATTATCAGTTGTTAAGTTATTCTATTGAGAACTGAAGTGGCATTTACCGTTTTAATTGGATGGTTTTTCTTATGTTAAACTGCTAGTATGCGTTTTCAGTCTATCTGCATGAGTTGGTAAAGTTAAGTTTTTTATTCATCTAATCTGATATTCGTTTGAATTGGGTATGCGTTGTTGCAATCTAGAGAGTTTTGGGCTAATAGATGGCGTAGAGCTTATTGATAAGAAGGATATTGGTTTCGGGCTGATGTATTATTTCATGAGAAACATGGTAAAGTTGTTTGATTGAGTTATGATTTTCCCTTTGTTTGGGATGGTTGACTGTTTACTCTCATGAGTCTGTTTAGTGAGATTTGAGCTTCCGGAGATATGATATGAGTGACTCATGCTTCTGAAATACCTTATCGGTTTTATTTGTAGGCTGGGTTGTCTCCTTATTCTGGCTGCGCACTAATGATCTGGGAGAATCATGCATAAAGCCACTATTTAAATGTTTAGTTCATCTCCTGTTCTAGATTTTTTTTTTTTTTTTTATCCTTAAAAATGCTGTGGATGAGGTTCCATTGCGTGTTTTTTTTTTATCATTCATTAAAGTTCTCTTTCTTTTCTGGTTAGTTTCATGTTTCATCTCAGTATGAAATGGTGGTCTAAGCTCAATCGAGGGATGGAATTGTGATTGACAAGAAATGACTGAGCAGTTTCTCATTACTTGCTTAACCTGGTTAAAAATATCAGGAAATTGTCTTCAGACTGGTATGGTGGTCATGATCTGTTAAAGAAGACATGAGTTAAGTCTGGAATTTACTTTAGGGTAGGAATCTTTCTTGGTTTAACTTCTCAACTTGTTTTGTCTGGTTTCACTACATTCACAATTTAGTCTAAAAAGGCCATTACCCTTTCTCGAAAAAAAGGCCATTACCCTATGTTGGTCCCACCCATCTGGAGTCTTGGGTGGGGTGAACTGAATGTAGACCTAGCTTTGGCATTTTATTTTATTATTTTTTTGGTGCGAAGTGGCTGCTCTCAGACCTGAACCCACATTTTAACACTTGTCCACCTGAGATTTTACCATTATACCAAGTAATGGATCCACATTCACAGTTTAGTCTATGAATGTTAATTACTGTCAACTATTGACCTCAATGAACTGTTTCTCATCACCCAATGGACTCTTGAATTTGGAGCTGCAGAGCTGCAAAACGGGTGTTATATGGCTTCTAGATCTTAAGCAAAAGGCATCCAAATATGGCTATTGGGGAACATGAAACATTGATTGAGGAACAGCAGTGGTATTTTTGTACAATAATGGATGCATGAAAAAGGGAATAAAATCTGTGCAATTCAACATATGGAAACACAAAAATTAACAAATAGAAATGCCAATGATTAACATGAGCTTAAGCTCATGTTACCCTACTATTTCTAGAGGATTGCAAATTTCAACTGCAATTGATTACTTTGTTCTTGAACTTCTAACTTTCCTATCTGCTAACACAAAGTAGACAGTTCAACTGAAAATAGAACTAGGGACTCATCCAAAAAAAGCTGAATTGTGGACTCGAAATCCCGAGCTGTCTCAACTTCTAAAATAACAATCCTCAAAAATAATTCTTACCAGGTTGCTTATAAAAAAAATCTAAGTAGCCCCTAAATCTAGAGGACTCCAATATAGAAATTCAAATAGCCGTTTCCTTTTTTGAGAAAGGTTAATTGAACTTTCATTAGATGCAAAGAAGTACATGAGATGATGTACAACAGAAAGAAACAGTGAGAAGGCCATAAAGGCTACACAGGCTGCAAGTTATCACTATAAAACAACTTCTATGAGCACCAGATTTAGCTAAGATATCAGTAATTGAATTTAGATTCCTAGGAATCCAACACAAAGTAACAACCATTTAGTTCAAGAACTCTCTAGCTTTGAGATCCTGGGAAGCAATGTCACTTGGGGTACCAGAGTTTAGAAGTTTCCATGACTGGGAGTTGGATGGGGTGCTGGTCCTATTTCAGCTTCTCAAAGATTAGTCTGTAGATGGAACCGGGAGGATGAGTGGAGGTGGAAATGGAGTGGGGATGACCTCTTCTCTGTTAAATCCTTGGCCGCAAGACTCAGGGATAGCAATGGTGCCTGTTTTCCCTTCAAACATATGCCTATTTTTTTTTTGTTGGTAAAAACAGATGCCAGTCCCTCAAAATTAAATTTATTATGAGTTTTGATGCTGGACAGATGTCTGACTAAGGAGATTCTATCTAGGAGGGGCCTACAATTGGTTGGCTTGATAATATCATCTGTAAATTGCAGGTGTGAGATATGGACTGCATCTCTCTCCAAGCCTTTTGCCAACTCCAACCTTTTAGCCTTCTCAATTAGCTAATTGAAAATTTATGATACCAGAGTGAAGAGCAAAGAGGACACCCTTGCTTGAATTCTCTATTTGCATTAAAATACCCTTTTGTCTCTCCATTTATTGTCACCGAAAACCATGTAGAACTTATGCACCCTCTTATCCAGCATACCCACTTTCTACAAAAGCCCAACTGGTTCAACACCCTCAAAAGACAATTTTAATCCATTTTATCATACTCCTTTTCAAGGTCAAGTTTGATGACCACCCCTGAGTTGCCTTTCTGTCTCTTCTCTTCAACACATTCATTTGCTATTAAGATGCTGTCAACAATTTGTCTTCCCTTCACAAAAGCAAATTGGTTGGGACTTGGGAGAGGTAACTTCTCTTAAGACTTCCTTCAATCTCCCCAACAAGATCATTGCCACAATTTTGTGCACACTTCCAACCAAGCTAATAGTTCTAAAGTCCTTTGTCTTCAAGATACCTTCTTGCTTGGGAATTAAACAAATAAATGTTGAGATGTTGCTTTTGTTCATAATGGCCGATTGCCTGATTGATAGAAGTCCTTGAAAACCTCCTTTAAGTCTCGCTTGATGATGTATCAACAAGTCTAAAAGAAAAACAATGGAAACCCTTCTGGCTTAGGGGCTTAATCTCCATCCGTACTGCAAATCACCACCATCACCTTTGCTCCTCAAAATCTCTCTCAAGCCAGCTCCTATTCGATTCCGGGAGCACCGGATATTCCAAATTACTTAATTTAATATTCCTAGTGTCTTCCTTTTAATACAACTCTTTAAAATAGTTTGCGATAGTCCCATCAATCTCCTCAAGATCCTCCACTTCTCTTTGACCCACCTTAGCTTTGAGATGAAGTTTTTTCCTACGTCTCCTTGTAGCATAACTGTGGAAGAACCTAGAATTATTGTCCCCTTTCAATGACTCTTAATCTTTGCCCAAAAATTTGTTCTCTTCTTATCACCTCCTCCCACTCCTTTCTTAATGTCACTCTTCTCCTTCTCTCACCCTTGTCCAACAGCCCATTCTTTGCCTTTAAATTTCTTTGCTTCCTCATCTCCATGTTTATATGTATTAACATGTTTTCTAGACAAGTTGTCTGGTGATGAGGTCTTTATGTCCTAGGATCTTCCACATGGTAGCTTAGCTAGCTGATGAATTATTTGGGAGAATTGTGGACATGCAGTGTCTTATTCTGAAAGAGTTCCTTGGGTGTTCTTTTGATCACTTAAGAGATACATGTGAAGACCTCTTGAATTGGGGGGGGGGGATTTAATGCAGATTTACTGATGTATTTCTTGACCATGGTTCTGGCTAATTAACTATGCCAAATTGTATTTTGGTGGCTGATCCTCTTTTCCTAATAAAATCACCATGTGTCAAATATATTTGGCTAAACAACTAAGGAATCTTCCACATGGAAAATTGGTTTGGGGTCCAAAATGGTCTCACAAACAGTCTTTTAACCAAGGTTTGAAATTTCGTTACATATCGGGCCATATCGGCCGATACGTATCATTTCGGGGCCTTCCCGATACACCTCTACAGGGGGTGTTTCGGGTCAGTGAGTGATTCAGGGGGTAGACCAGCCTTAAACCGGCCCCTCTGAACCATATTCGGAAAAAAAAACAAAGAAAACATTACTGATACAGGCCGATATGCATATCGCCCTGTATTGATATTTTGAACCTTGCTTTTAACAGGCTATCTTTAGGCACACCTAACTGTACAAGTGAGGCGCATTTTGATGGATGTCCCTAGCCTGAACCTAGGCACAGCCCCTTTCAAAGCGCACATGCCTGATGCCTGGTGGACACCTGGTGTGTTCCTTTTTTAAATATTCTTTTTTTGTTATGCTTTTATAAGTTATAATGTGCTTTACACCCTTATAATGCTTTATTTATTTTACTTTTTTTCAAAGGAACTTTGCTCTTTATTGGGAAGTAATGAAGATACTTACAGAAACTTACAAAGAACTAGGCTAACAGCATCAGTACCAAACCTTTTCCCCTTTGGAGATGCCTAAAGTAACAACGACATAGCCCCCCAGTACACATTTTCCCTGTATACCTCTTATCTAGCCAAAGAGTCAGCAACATTGTTTGTTACCCTATGTGTCCATGATGACGTTATTCCCAACCCTCTTGCAAGATTTACAGCCTGTTTTAGAGTGTATATGTGCTGCCATGTGCCCTTTGATCTACTTTTCATTCAGTTGATCACACTCTCAGAGTCCCCATCAACCTCTAATTTATACAGGCTAAGGTTCTTGCAGAATTTTAGACCTTGAAGGACTGCTTGTAGCACTGCTGATTTGCACTCTCCTCCAAGGCTCCAATGAGCCATCTTTGTAGTGGCTTATCAATTTCTAAACTATCTTTTATTGCTGTTGTACACTAGTAATACTCTATTAATACTTAAAATAAATAAAAATAAAGAACTTTTGAATACCTGAAGCCATGATACTTGCAAGTAGGATCTCAAATAGCAAAGTTTCCATAGATGAATCAACAACAGTTTAACTAATATCTGATTCTTAATCCTAAAAATAACGAGCTGCAACTAAATTAAAATCACAAAACCAACCCCCTTATATGTATGGACCAAAAATTCAGGTTGGAGATGCTACTCCAAATGGCAAAACCCCCTCATGGACTTGTTTGGGCTTACTTCAAGGGCCCTTTACAAAAGTAGAGGGTCGATCTCCTAGGATTTGGAATCCAAGATGTTTAACATCACACTAGTTACTTGAAGTAATGCAACTGGGAGATAAATAAACATATTGAAATTTTCACATGCTTGAATTGTTGAGTGATTGAAGCATGTTGGTACGATCCACATATGTTTTCTTTCACTTCAACATTTTCACTTTGAATATGCTTTGTAGGTAATTTGAGCCAATAGGTTTTAAAAACATTTAATTTCTTAAGTCAAGTTTTCAATTTTTATTTATTATTGTTTTTTAATTCTTTCTTTTTACAAAAATGTGCACCTTGCTTTGGAAAGGCACATGCCTTGCCTTGTGCCTTGCATGCTGGATGCTAGAAGTCCCTTGCACTTTTCTTGCACCTTGCATTTTTTAAAAAAAACTGCCCACAAGTTCCTTTTGCTATCCTCTATTAATTTGGGGGGGGGGTAATAAAAAAACTGCCACATTGCTAGAATAAATACCTCATATCAGGCAAGTTTAAGTTTAAAATGTTGAAATTTAAAACCAATATTTGAAATGCAGAGCCATAAGCAGTGAAGCATGCCTCAGGTGCAGCAAGGTGCAGAGGCAAGGCACATATTTCAAGGTCTGCACCTTGCCTAGGCCTAGGAGAAAACCCTTTGAAAAGGTGTGCATCTGGTGCTCTTCGTGCCTCAGCTGTGGTGTTCACTTTTTGAAGAACTGTGGCTAGGCCGAGGGCTCTTGGTAATGTTCATTTATTCTTCTTAATGCAAGACATTTTTTAAAGATAATTAAAATCATAAAATCATTTTTTTTTTTTGTAGAGGGATTAAGAATTTAAGACCCTAACATGGACTTGTTTGGGCTTGCCTCAAGGGGCTTGATACAAAGGTGGTTGGTAGAATTAGGATGAAAGATGTTTAACATCACATTAGCTATATGAAACAATGCAATTGGGAAAGAAATAAAGAAATTGAAAGTATGATATTCTTGAATATGTTTTATATGTTATGCTTATGTGTTTTAATTTGAGCTCATAAGCCTTTTAAAACATTTAGTTTAAAATTAAAGTTTGCATTTTTTTAATTAATACTATTTTTAATGTTTTCTTGATTTATTTTTTGAATTTTCAAAAATTTTGTGCCTTGCACATTGTGCCTCAGGCTCAAAATGCCTCTCGGACCTTTTATTATTAGTATTGTTATTATTTTTGTGCCTTGTGCTTTTAAAACACTGGCCATGAAGCCCTTGTCTGAAGAAACTATAGCATTCTTTCCTTTATAGAACATCTTTTCTTCATCTTCATATCTCTCTTTATATTTCATCAGTCTATCCTCCTTGGGCTTTTTGTTTAACTGCAGAAATGGATATTAGAAATCCTCTCTGGTTTCTTCTCATCTCTTGCCCCATAATGCCTCCCCATCCTTCAGTTTGAATGGGAATGGATCACATATGAATAAGGTTCTGAAATATCTATATTTGTTTATTCATGTGCACTAGGTTGAGTGCTTTAGATATTTTGTGGTTACGATTGTTAAATACCATATATCTCAAGCTTATGGAAAGTCATAATTCCAGATTTACCAAGCATGCAAGAAAACTGGCATCTTCTTTTGTATTGTGATTGGTAGTGGTAGTGTATTCCATATTTACTTTTCTTCTCTTTTAGGGGCAATTTGGGATGTCCCATCAAGAAGCCTTGGCAAGTGTAACAGCTCAAGCTGCTCAAGCTCAGGTTCAAAAGCAGCTTCAGGCTGGGTTTCCATCTTCTTCTTCAGAGTTGTCATCAACTTCTCTTACGCAATCCATGCCATCTGAACCAAGTTCAACTCCACAAGAACAAAAAGTCTCACCAGTACCAAAGGATACTGATGTTTGTACACCAGAATTGGACAAGCAGAAGTCCTCTGATCAGAAAGCTAAATCAACTCATGTGGTTATGAAGGCACCTTCTAATGATGGCTACAACTGGCGAAAGTATGGGCAGAAGCAGGTGAAGAGTACTGAGAGTTCTCGAAGCTATTACAGATGCACATATTCTGATTGCCATGCTAAGAAGAAGGTTGAGTGTTGTGATCATTCTGGCCATGTGACCGAGATTATTTACAAAGGTCGCCATAACCATGATCCACCTAGAAAAATTAGATGCACCAAAGCACGAAAATCTGCATCAGCTGTTGAGCCTGATGAAGACAGTGAGACCATAGATCTTCCAGTCAGAAAACTTGAGTCAGATCCATCTACACCTAAAAAAGAACTTAGAGAGGTAACATTGTCAACCCCTGAAAAGAAACGACCCATATCAAGTGCTTCTGATGGAGGAGCTGGCCTTAAGACTGAGGAAGAACATATAGATGAACCAGATGCTAAACGAAGGTAAGTTATTTCAAGAGATTTGGTCACCCCAATTTTGTTCTCTACATGGCATTGTCTTTACGTTCTCCCTTTCTTTTGTGTCACAAGCAGGATCAAGGATAGCGATACAGAATACTCGGCTCCACTTTTTAAAACAGTTAAAGAGCCTAAGATTGTTGTACAAGCAGCTAGTGATGTGGGGATCTCAGGTGATGGCTACCGGTGGCGCAAATATGGGCAGAAAATGGTGAAGGGAAATCCTTACCCAAGGTAATTGCCTATGTACTCCAGTGGTTTGGTTATGGTTTTGGTCCCTATTTTATGAAGATCTGAGAGTGCTAGTTTCCAGTGTAATGTGTAGCAGCTGTCATCACATTATTCTTGCTTAAGGTAATTTTCTAGTATGTATTTTTATAATATACATGGCTTCATTTCATGTTTCACATTTTCGGTTTACACCTTCTCAAGTCTAGCCATTTAATGCCATTGTTGGGTCTGCATATGATGCTTGTCCTAATTTGATCCTACCAATCTACTATGCCATGTTAATAGTTCTCACTGTGAGATGCCATTTTTTATATCTAAAATTATGAGTCTTGTTGCATTGCACAGAAACTCTGGAAAGAATAAGTGGTTGCAAGAGTAAAAATGACTTCTCTAATGGAATGCTCTGTATAAATTACAGAAAAGGAGAATGATCTTTCTTTTGCAAGTATTGAAGTTATGAATCAAACTGATGGCCATGATTTCTGAGTCTCTTGGGATGAAGACAAGGTTAACAAGAGAAGGGGAATAAAAAGGAAGATGATTTACTATTTCATCTCCAAGTTAAAATGTCAGAAATCATACAGCTCAACGCTGCTTTCGAAGCTGGCAAGGCATCAAATGCTTGCATCCTTCAGGAACCTAGGTTGAGGTGTTGATAAGCTGATTATAAAACCTCAAACAAGATTGTACTATATTAAAGTTGTAACCTGTATGAATTTGTTCCTTTCTCAAATACGAATTACTAGAAGTATGAATATAATCTGATTTCACAATTTATATAGCCATACTTATATAGGACAAGAAGGGGAGAAAAGTCCTAATATGGTGTATGCAGTGGATAAAGAAAGAATCTTGGTTTGGTATAGGGAAAAGAAAGGAGAAAAGAGAGGGATTTCAAATTTGAAATATAGAATGAAAATAAAGAAGATAAAGTGAAGGAAGAGATTGTACTTCAAGAAGAGAATGAGAGGGAATAAAAAATAAGGCACTTAAGCAAGTTCCCACAACCAAAATTTACTAATAATAATTTTCATTCATCAAATCAACTCTAAAAATTCAGCAACATAGACTCTATAGGCTCAGCATAAGGTGTCTGATCTTCCTTCATCAACTCTAGTTTGGATGAAAACTGACATAAACAACTCCTAAGTATTAACTGCTTCAAGACCAAGACAAACCATAGGTATTAGGTAAGCCATATATACACTCAGATAAGAATTAGATTCTTAAAAACTAATCCTGCTACAACTAAACAAACTAAAAGTAACTCCAATATAGACCAAAAATAAATAAATGGAAGACAACCCTATCACTATCTCAAACTATGTCAAATTTACAAGATCTTGGTCTCATTGGATGGATAGCCCAATAACCTATATGATGATACAAAAATTATGAAAGTAGGTAGTTTTTTTTTTTTTTTTTGGTGAAAGAGTAGGTAAATTTTGATCCTTGAAAAATAGGTTGAAAAAAAAGACATGATTTATCTTCAACTTTTCAAAATTTAAAGTTCCACACAAGCACCTTAAGCCATATTATTTTAATATACTAAAAGGAACTTTTAGAAAAGTCAAATTGATCAAAATTAGATTCACCTGAAATTATAAAATTGCCACTGGATAAGAAATTAGAAAAGTCAAATGATCAGCCAAAGGTGCCTGAGGCACTCAACTATTCACAGAATCCATTTCTTAGATCTATTGGGTGCACGGATCCAGACGCTGCACCTTATATGTAACATGGATTGCTTGAACTTTGAATAGATGAGTATGCACCTTAAGAAGGCACTCAACCGATATAAGGCATGTTGTGTCGAAATTTTGAACCTTGGTTCTGTCAGTGTTAGCAAGTTTCCATGTGGAACTCTTCCTTTTCCATGAAAAAAGTAAAATAAACCATCTCCAAGACAGAACGCTTTAAATTACTAAGATTTTCTTAATGATTTCAAAAGAATAATTCTTGGTTAAATAACTTGCTTCTACCACTCAAGAAATTGCTGTCATCAATCTAAAATAAGATAGATTGAAGGGTTTTTTCTTTTTTTTCCTCTTTTTTTTTTTTTTTTTTTTTTTTTTTTTTGTGTTTGATTAACCCCTGTTTGGCACTTTGGCATACTTGATGAAATAAAATAGCAGTTTTACCTTTCACCTGAAAGTGGTCCTCACTTTTGTGTGGGTTTTTGACCAAGGGGGAGAAATATGATTGACTGAGGCCAACTCATGAGACACAAAATATGAACTGGAACTAAATAAATTTTAGTTTTTTTTTTGGCCATTTGGGATCCATATTCTTTTGCTATGGACTATCCCTGCATCATTTATTTATTTATCCCATTTTCTTTAAAACATTTTGACAAAATCTTGGCATATGTGAAGATCTGAGCAAGCTCTACTTTGCTTATTACAGAAGGTGATTTGTAAAGAAACTGATTTAGAAGCTTAAACGTCCATGTTTTGATATAAGATTGATGGTATCACTCTTTAACATTCTTCTATTTCATCCTGATTCTTCACTGTGGTAAACTTTCAGGAGCTACTACAAATGCACATCTGCTGGCTGTCCTGTCCGGAAGCATGTAGAGAGATCCACAGATGACACAAGTGCTGTCATAATTACATACGAGGGAAAACATGACCACGACATGCCAGTTCCAAAGAAGCGTCATGGCCCACCAAGTGCTGCCCTTCTAATTGCTGCTGCAGCGGCCATGAATAATGCACAAATAAAGAAGGCCGAAACATTACCAAATCGAAGAGCTTCAACCCAATGGTCAATGGACATCGATAGTGATTTGGCCGGTGAGAAGGCATTAGAACTCGGGGGTGAGAAGGCATTGGAATCAGCCCGGACTCTCTTGAGCATTGGAATTGAATTGAAGCCCTACTGAAGCCAGATAATGAAGTGAGCAAAGTCATGTGCTTTCTTTATGCAGCCAAGTCTACTTAAAGAACTTGGGTTTGATGAAATTTTGGCTCCCCCTTCCCCCTCTCCCATGTGTGCCGCCTTTGTTTTCACTGTGGTATTTCTGTAAGCAGTTATGTATATCCAGTCTTGTACATCCTCTTAGCTTGTTTGGATCAGGCTAAAAGCAGCAAGACATTTATAGGATTGTTTTCCAGTACCCTAAGATAAGAACAGGTTCAAATTAATAATAGCTCAGTTACTTAACGTTGATCTGCAAATGTTTTGACTTGTTGCATCTGCATGATGAACACCATTCTTTACATTGCAATTTGCAGGTCAAAAAGCAAGCTCTGTTATTCTTGTCAGATAGGAGGATGCATTAAGTGTGAAGTTTTTAGTATACCACAAATCGGGTTCTGTATATGCTTGTACGGGACAAGATGCACCAAGGCTTGTAATTTTGTAAATTCATTTCAAATGTCAAAAAAATATTAAAATAAACAGTTAAACTTATAAATAGAGATAGAGAAAAAACTTCCCTCGATCTCTGTACGAGGGAAAGAAAGGCAGGGTGAGGCGTGGTGGGTGGGGGCTTGTGGAGAATTTGCACCCCAAATCATTCTGGCTTAGTTTAGGAGGCCTGCCCTAATCTATCCATGCATTTTATTTTTTGGAAAAATTTCCGATTAGTATCTTATATTTTGAGTTTAGTGTCATTTTGGTCCTCTAACTTTAAAATGCAATAATTCGGTATCCGAACTTTTAAAACATGACAATCTAGTACCTACCGTTAATTAATTGTTAATTAGTCGTTAAGGGGTATTTGCAAAAGATATAAATGCCCTTCGAGATTCATCTAATTTTCTTTATCAACTATCCAAACATTGACATAAAATTAAGTCTAAAATCCTTGCCTCTTCTATTTAAGAAAGTTGGGGTCACTAGAATGTCCACTCAAACATGATCCCAACTTTCTTGAATGGAAGAGGCAAGGATTTGAGACTGTTATTTTTTTATCAATATTTAGATGGTTGATAAAGAAAATTAAATGACACTCGAAGGGCATTTGTATCTTTTTCAAAAGTCACTTAATGGTTAGTTAACAGAGAGTTGATGACCGGTATAGATTGTCACCTTTTGAAAGTTTGAATATTATTGTCGCATTTGAACCAAAGTGACACTAGGCACAAAGTACAACGTTAAAAAGATTTAAGGCATATTAAATCTTCCCCTTTTTTCCTACCATACTAAATGTTTCCCAAGTGTATGCCGTTAAAAAGATTTAAGGCATCATTCCTAATTAACTCTTAGGATTTGAACTTTGTTAAATTGTAAGGCAAGTCTACAACTATACCATGCTTGATTTATTTGTTTAGTTGGCTTTAGGTTTTAACAGTTAGACATCTTTTCTTGGCACACATTTATCAAAAAATTAAAATATATATTCTTTTCAGAGTGTATTAAACTTCACATCAATTATCAAAATATATATATATATATATTATAGGTAAATACCTCATTTATAGCCATCACTGATTCAAAGCATTGATATTTGATACTTTCGATACCTATATCAGAGTTTTGATCAAACAAAACTATTCTTTTTCTGACCTCTTGTCAGTTGACATGATAGGTCATAAGCCATTATATGAAACAACCAAAATCATATAAAGCGTATCGTTGACCTTGATACATTACGCCTTCTTGGATGTATCGATATTCGATACTTTGAATCTTGTAATCAGATTTAATGGTATTGATACACTTGTAAAATAAAACCCTAATAAATTCATACATATCTTAATTTGTCAACCATACCTATACATGTATCGAAGGGCAATAAGGTCTCTTATCTTGACTGGTTGATAAGGTCTCTTCTCTCGACTGGTTGTAACCCCTTGAACCTAGGTAAAATACTGCATACAGGTTACCCACGGAAGATATATTAACATGTCACTCGACATGGAAAAGGACGAAATTCGGTCAAACATAAACTCGGCAAATCCTTCTTAATTTTCATGTTACCACTTTTTTACAGTAACTGCTGAATTAACTGAGCTAAGTTACCCATCAATTTATCTTTTATTAGATAAACAACCACACAATACAAATAATAATATTCAGAAAAATTCAAAATATCAAATATCATCATTATGCCAACCTGTGAATTGTGAAACTCACACCTACCCAACTGTACTTTGGACCTAACAATTCTGAGCTTGGGCTGACCTAACAAGTCAGAAATTAAGGATTCCCGTCTTAATTAAATTATTCACTAAAGACAAATTGATAAATAATTCAGTTCAACCAATTAAGCCTTCTGCCATTACCAAATGGCATAAGCATAACCATGTCCTCTACGAGGAAGAGGACAGAAAGAAAAACCTTGGGCCCCTCATTCCAAGAGTGATGAGAAGAGAATAATAAAAGCTGTTGGAAACCTGTAAATGGGGTAAACGGTCGTCAGATGGTCCCTCCTGTCCATTATTAGCACCCATCTGTCATTGTGAGGTCATGCATCGGATGAACAGACCCAAGGACAGAAAATCCTTTTTCCTGCTCCCTAAGGACTGAGGAGAGTTGAGGACAAGGAAAACCTCGCCCGGCCGAGATTGGATTAGGTTTTTAACTTCTAATGTGAACTATGGGTTGGTAACCTTTCACAGCTTCACTGTACAAAGAAAAGTGTACATCCATCCATCAATTCATTGGGCTTCACCTCCACTCTCACGGCTGAAAACCTTCCACCGACGTACCCAGACAACACTGGATAACCAAATTCTCTTTTTATAATCTACAAAGCAAGATCTATGCATAGAAGAATTCATAATTTCTTTATACACAAAACCACCATACACCCCTCATGAATGAGTAGCCCAACACCAACTACCTCTTAATGAGTAGCCTTGAGTGTTCATTCCGAGACATTCAACTTATCCATGGCCTTTCCCAATTCTGATTTTATCATGTCCTCGGTCTTCTTCTCTTCGGCTGTGCCCTTGCTACCTGTTGGTGTCTCTTCCGCTTTCCCAATTCTGAGTTTATCATCCCCTTCGCTAACTGTTGGTGTGTCCATACACACTTGGAATCTGAAGCAATTGATGAGATGGTCGTTTGTTATTCCTGCAACTTGCATGAACGAGTAGACGACAGTCGGCCCCACGCTCCGAAAACCCCTCCTCACCAGGTCTTTGCTTATCACATCTGCTTTCGGGATTTTCACTGGAACTTGTCGGGGATATCGGAACTTGCTAATTATAGGCTTGTGATTTACAAAGCTCCAGATGTAGTTGTCAAACGACCCAAACTCATCAATGACCTGCATGAGAAAATTCAACATTTTAGTTTTGATGACAGTGATAGCAAGAAGAGGGGAAAACTATTGACAGATGAGAAATACTTGGGTAGGGCTTCAAATACGGAAGACTTGCTGTTTAGCCTATCTAGATCATTCGTGTGTCATGTGCTCATGGCTGATCAGGACTCAGGACCACAATTTAACAACTTCTTACTTGGCAATAATAGAAGATCCCGATTATATCTTATTGACTTGATTAGGAAAGGAAATACACAAGATATCCATGGCTTCAAAAAAATATATATAAGATAGCCCCACCTCACAGAAACTGTTTTGTTCTACCTAATTACATGTTTACATCATGTTGCATGGACTCTCTTAGGTGGATGAAACATCCATGTAGGACATGTGTCAGATTCTTACACTCCAGGGATTCCTGAGGAACATTTTGACACAAACACTCCCCTATTTTTTTCTTCTACATAGATGAACGGCTAGTTAATATGCAAGAGGAATGCCATTTTTCTAATAAAACATTGCTTGATAACAAAGGCCACCTTTTAGACTGCTATGTGCATATCAAGCAAAACTGGCTTACATTCATCTAAAAGAGCTGAATGGTTGATGTTGAACTACATATGGTGTTATGTCAAACAGTGAATATCACCATCAGTCCATCATCATAGAATTTCTTGAAAAATAAATCAAACAAAAATAAGTCCTTAATTATGGATTCTGAGGATAAGTAGTGCAAAACAGAAGGGGATCTACCTTGCATATTTGGCGTGCATTCTCAATGATGGCACGCAGCTTTAACTCTGACAATAATGAACTGGCAGTACTTCCCGGTGCTGTTATCTTCTTCTCATTCAATTTCGAGACAGCAACTGGGTCGAAATCTGAAAAAACTTCCCTGCATACATGCATATGTCAGGAGGGGAAAATACAAGCAAGGTATGGAAATTAGATGGCCCACCTGGCCATCCAGCAAAATGTGCAAAATCAAGATGCCACCACTTCATCTACCAATCTTTTGGCTGGTTAAAAGACCATTTGGCAGATGACGCAGAAGATCAGATCAGCCCATTGATCAAATTATTGAGTGTTAAAAAGTTTCCATCAGCATGTAATTCAGTACCTAAAAATGTGCCTTTTGCTCAGGATGGTAGGCCATGTAAGTTCAGCCAAAGCACCAGATAGGACAAGCAACTCAAATAGTTTCCTGCACATTGTCAAGAACATCAAGCAACCTAAGAATCCTAGTTAATGGCAGTTTCTGTCATGGGGTTAGAGAACCAGTTGGCACTGGAAAAGGGAAAGGAAAAGAAGGTTCTTATGATGTACTTGTCATCGTGGACTGGAACTCCCCATTCTTCATCATGAAAAGCAGCATAGCAAGGATCTGTTACAGAAAATGAAAACCATTAGGCAGAGAAAAATTTTAGATTGATTGGTTAGAGAAATGGCTGCAAAAAAAAAAAAAAACTACAAAGAAAATATGGTACTGAAGTTCTTTGAGAATTAAAAAAAACATGTCAGGTTTTGCTGATAATGGAACTTCTGCAGGCTGTCATGATGATCATTAGATGTAAATCTAGTAGTTACCACTAAAAGAAGATGAAACTAGTGTCTTTGCTCAGGATATTTTTATTGTGACGTATTACCAGTACATGCTGAACTTGTCGTCATACGGCCAGAAGGGTTGGACCTTAGACAAAAATTCACCATTTGGAAAAAATACAAAATACATTATCAACATCCAAGTCATGGATGGAAAACCCATGATCACCAGGTTAACTAACATTTAGACATAAAGTCCATAAACTTACAGTAGAGGTTTAAAATAGCCTCATAGTGATGCTGGCAGGCTATTATAATCTTAAGGACCAACGTTTTGACAGCTAATTTTGACCAAACAGATTGAAGTATTGAACTACATGTGACCACAACTTCTGAAGTATGAACTGGATATCCATACAAGAAAAGCACCCATGTGATTCCCAGAACAACAATGTGTCTTCAAATCATTAGCATAAATGTTACAGTTTGTAGTGAGCAACACCCTATGCTCAGACTAGACCTGGAACATTGTATTGTCTTCGATTCATGTCTTTCCTGATCAAAAAGTCTAGTAGAGGTTTAGTTCAACCTTCAAAGCACAATAATACTCATAAACCCACACTAAAAAGAATTGCATACTAATTATTACTCATCAAAAGAAAATTGCATACTATTAATTACTCATAAAAAATTGCATACTATTTATTATAGAATATTGGAACAGGGAATTTCTGAAGTAACTTCTTTTATCAACAAAGGTTTCATTAACTGATTAAATTAGAATTTTGATGTTACATATCCATGCTGGACAGAATTCCAGCTCCCAATGTCTTATGCTCAAACCCAATTACAGATTGGCCCAAATCAATTGTTCCCTATGAACCCCTTGCCTTGCTAGAGCATCGGACAGACTATTTGATGTTCTTTTTACCCATTTGAATGTTGCTTCCACTTCTAAAGTAGCTCCATCATTCCATGGTGAAAAAAGAATGCCCAAAATGTAGAAATTCTTGCAGTTTTAAAATTGGATGTGCTGCTAAGAAAAATAGCAATTTGGTGAAAGGTGAAAAGCAGCATTTAGGACTTTATTTGATTTGATTAAAAACATAAGCAAGATAACATATCCCTCTTCTAACTCCCCCTCCCTCTCCTTGTGTAAAAAAACAAAAACATACACACATACACACATACACAGAAACAAAACAAACAAAATTAACACCATATTTATCCGCTTTGCAAGCCAAAATCCTCCTAGTGTGGTACTGTGGCTTATTAAGATTTGTCCCATCTTCAATATTTGAAATGTTTTTTAGCTTGTAACTTATATAACTTGGTTATAAGTAATTGCTAACTTAATCCAAAAACAACTCACCAATGTGTTGTCTGGAATCAATAGTTTGATGCTCCAAGCATTCATGTTCCATACTATTTGAAAAAAGAAAATGAATATTACGTGTTTAGACAAACACTAGTGTCACAGAGGTAAGCAGTTAAGTACCAGAGGCCTTAAATCACAAAAAGGAAAATGTGCATGCCCCTCCATAACTAAATGCATCTGCACTTTGTATACCTTGTCCTTTTGTCATTTAAAGGTCTCTGTGGCACTCATGATTCCCATGAAACTAGAATTGCTCTACACCTTGTGTATTGAAATACTGACAAGATGATGAAAGGGTGGCATAAGAAAGGCTGATGTTTTTAGTCCCTTGTGTACCATCTAACAAATATTTATGGGAGATACATTACAGAAGGAATGTACAAAACTATCAAATCATAAACAAGTAAAAACAGATGATATTAATTAAAGTTTGGAGTCCCTAGTTCCTGGTACGAAAAGAGATGTTGAAGGCCAAAAATTTCTACTTATATATCCATAAGGATATTATTTTAATAGACACATCATGCAAGAAAACAATGGATAAATCAGAAATATGGTTGCTTCCACCTTCTTGGACCCACAGTTTTTTCTGCCTTCCTGCTGTTTCAATTCCCACTGGCCCAAATTTTGGTAGTCCAATGAGTACCTAAGAACATAAGGGAAATGTACGCAAAAAAGGGATGGTTAGGACTAACATTGGGTAATGGCCCTTAGTACCTTTCCATGACACACTAATGCAAGATAAACAACACTAACCTGAAGCCACACATTAATTAAGGGCTAGAAAGGGTGGCATGATTCATTTCACCTACTGCACCAATAAGAAAGAGTGACATGATTCATGTTGGGGGGTTCAGAATCAGGAGATGGAAGATCAAGAAGGGCATTTTTTAAAGGACTGGGACAAGAAATCAGTACCCACGTTTTAATAGAGGATACAACCCTAGATAGATGGTCTAGCAAGAACAGGGTTCATGTAGACAACTGTAAATAGTTGTTATTGGGCTTCTTTTAGTTGAGTTTGATGTTATTAAAAACTAGAGTACCATCTTACAGAATACCAAGTTGCAACTAGATAACTATTAATCATAAAAGTGAAATGATGCAAGGACAGAACTGATAAGTCATCAGATGAACCTGAAGTCCTGAACTAATAATTGATGGATAGAGACATGATAAATATGCAGTCCAGTTGAACCTGAAGTCCTTGTGCTGCCTTACGCCTCAGCCCAGGTGTGCACCTTTGCTATTTTTTGTACTTTTTTATGTTTTTAAGCATGGTAGCTGGGGTGCAGAAACCATGCTATTGTTCATTCATTCTTCCAAGCCATTTTGTGGTTGATGCACCTTGTGCCTCAACCCCCTTTTTTGATAATATTGCTCATTTGTTCTCCTTAATTTAAGTCAATTTTTAAAAGGTAAGGAATTTATTAAAATTATAAAAACATTTTTATGTACGGATTAAGAATTAGACTCTAACATGGGCTTGTTTGGGCTTGCCTCGAGGAGCTTGGTAAAAAGCAACTTGTAGAACTAGAGTTATGTGATTAAGAAAGAAATAAAGGGATTAGAAGCTTCACATTCTTCCATGTTATACGCATTTTACTTTGAATACATTTTATATTTAAGTATTCAACTTTAGTTAATATTATTTTTAATATTTCTTTTTGCAATTTCTCTTTTTATTTTGCATTTCTTTTACTTTCTTTTGAAAATTCTGGAAAATTTGCCCCTTGCCTCAAAAAGGTGTGTGCATCAGGCGTAAAAAAGGCCCTTGTTTTTTTAAAACACCGGTTCTTAGTAGGTCTAGTATCCAGCATTTTCAATTCAAGAAGCTATTAGTATTAAGATTTCAAAAACTTGAAATCTAATCCAACATAACGGTGAAGGATTGCTAAACTAGATCATCTTAATAACGTAAGTAATGATATATTTTATATAGTCTATTAAATAAGTAGCAGTAACATGTATGGGTTTGCCAAGGTAAATTTTTATTTGAGCCTATCAAAAAAATTATTTTGATGTGTTGATGTTTTAGAACAGTTCAGACACCTGACCCAACTCAGAAGTTTCTAAATTGCACAAATGCCAAAGAACAGGCCTACACAAAATTCATTCCTTTTCTTTAATTGGGTTTCTTGCTTTTCTAGAAAGAATAATTGTGATTAATGGAGTCAAAATAAGCTAAATCCACTACTGCTCCCCTAAAAGTCTTTCATCAGTGCCCACGAAGGGTAACTTTAACTCGAACCTTGTACCTCTGAATAAATATCATATCAGATTAACAAAACTTAGATGAGCTGCACAAAACAAAAGTAGAAAGTTGCAAATGAAAAAGAAATCTTAGAAAAACCTTGAAACTGAGAACCAAGTACATACCCGTGTTTGGTGTCACCCAAGCACATCTCTTCTTGGTTTCTATACTGTCAGGTGAAGAATCTGAAGCACTATCAGGGACAACCTTTTCTGGCCTTGAAATAGAATACTTCCTCCGGCTTGGCGTACTTCTTGTTCTAATTAACCTTCCAGTAGAAGCTCTACTGTACACCGAATCGGAAGAAGCGTCAGACGAGCAAGATGCATTGAGCGACAAGTTAGAATGCAAGAACTCATGCCTCCTCAAAATTGAAGGAACGCTGACAGGTTGGAGCTTAGGTGGAGAAGCAGCAACAGGAGATGACGGAGCTTTCTTCTCCTCATCTACAGCCTCCGGAGTTTTCTCTACCTTCCTCAAAGGCTTGGAAGCGGGTTTCCGAGTAACCAACGACCTTGTCTTGTTTCCAGCCGGTCCAAGGACCGGCCGTGCCTCCGAATCTGCTACGTTAATCGACCTGACTCTAGGAGCTCCCGACATGGAACGAACTCCTCGATTCTCCTCAGATCTCAGCTTTTCACTTTGAAAATCCCCGGATTTCTCCACTTTTGACAGATTTGGGTCTAATTTAAATGCTATAAATCACCACTCACCATCTAGCACTCAAATTCAACAAACAAAAACCCCACTCCAGCCTCACAGAACACAGAAACCGCCACTTCTGCATCTCCTCTGAACGACTGAATCTAGAGTTCAATCAACGCCTCTGAGAACTCCATTATCCACTGTTACTTCAAATCTACTTAACCAGAGCTCCAAAAAATACATTCACACCAAAACCACAAAACTCCTCGAGCTTTGACCAAAACCTAGGGCTAATTCAAGCCACTGAGACACTTCCTTGTCATATAAACCAGCTTCAAATAACATAGAAACCCAGAGATTCTGTACTGCATTGCCAAAAACGAAGCTTTCCACCTCAAAACATCCATCTCAAAGTGTCCATTTTCAACTCTCGATGTGAAAAGGCTGCCATTCTCCCTGCAAAACCCCTCGTTTACCCTAATAATCCCCCCCCCCCCTCTAAAATAAGCTGGAACCGCTGAAACTCGCAGCGAAATCCTCCCAATCCAGCTAACAAAACCAGCAAAAATGGATCACTAAAATACAGACTTCAACAAAAGCAAGAGTGAGAGAAATACTCGATCTAGGGATTAAGAGATGCGAGAAGCAAGCGGAGAAGAAGTAAAAAGACGCGAGCGAGAGAAAGAGAGGGAGAGTGAGAGAGTGAAAGAGTCGAGAGCATTTATATACCGGGTGACCGGTAGAAACCAACCAGAGCAGGTAATTGACCGGCTATGTCCAGTCAAGTTCCTGGAATTACTTGAGATAAAGACGATTCTTTCCGGTGTCTCTCCGTCGTGTAATTTTTATACTTTCTTCCTTCCTAATTTGCCCTCGGAATGTTTTATATTCCCAAACGTGCCCCCAAGTGGAGAGCTAGCCGTTGCCACTTTTTTAAATCCCTTTGTTTGCAAGCGAGCAAACCAAATCGAGTCGACACCCGACAGAGCGCGCTGCTTCCTTCCATTGGATTCTCTGTGGTAGATCGAGAGAGAGAGATGTTTTGCTGTAATTTCGCGCGAGAAATTGATCAGGAGATGAAGTAGAGCCAGGTAGCGTGAGAATACGGCACGTGGCTGTGGGACCCCTGGGAAGTTAATTTTTTAAAAAATGATTTCTTTTATGATTGATCAGGTGTTGAGTCACAGAGGGAAGTTTCTATTCGAGGTTAGGATGGGGATTGCTTCGCTTGGATGGACAGAACTGGGATTAGGATCTTATTTACACAATTTGGCCACGTGGCAAATGGAGTGATGGCGATGGGTTCAACCGTTTTCTCAGAATTGTCTGTCTTTAGGTGGAAGGTTTTAGTCAGACAGTGGTGAGAGAGAGAGGAGCGATCCCGCTGAGTTGTGGTGGGAGCCCTGTCGTGGGTGAAATTCATTGGTTAAAAGTTGGAACAATTTGCAATTTCTTATTATTTGAACCCTGGAGCGAATGAATGGAGGACGTGTTAGGGCTCTCAGTAATTGCTTCGTGGGAGCGCGCTCTCAATTTAGAAAGGTAGGCTACTCTTTGTTTATAAGAAAATCAAGAATCTTCAACAAATAACTGGAAATTGAGGGAAAATCTATGCTGCCGGGAAATTGGTGCAAGTAGGAGAATATAAATATTATATGATATATGCAACTTGATGTTGATAATTAGATGAAAACATGTTATTTAAGATGTAAGAATACATTTTTTTTTCAGTTGAACAAACAAAGAGAAAAAATACGCATATACTATAAGAACATTTTTTCTGTGTTTTGGGTTTGATTACGATGAACGAAAGATATGATACCAGAAAAATTTAAAACCAATGAAGGGGCAACATAAAAGTGGTAACCAATCAATGGCAAAAAAAATTCCTAGCTTTACCAATGCCAATTACGTGTTTTTTTTTTATCAAAATTGATTTTAAGTGGTCAAAGCATGGTTTTTAAAAACGAACTGGTGACTGAACCGGTTAGGAGTCCAGTTACTGGTTTGAACGGTCTGACCAGTTGACCCAAACGGTCGGCCCGTTCTGACAACAAAATAAAAAATTAAAAATTTTGAAAAAATGGTCAAAACCGTTTGAATGGTTAATCGATTGGTTCAGCGGTTTGCTGACCAAAATCAACGGTTTTGGAGGAAAATGGAACCGGTCAGGTGACTGGCTACCGATTTTTTGGTCCAATCATCCGGTCCAGACCGGTTTTAAAAACAATGGGTCAAAACCTTTTTGATATAATGTCTTTTCAGTATGACAGATTTTTTTTTTGGTAAAAATTATGATAGATTTTTTTCTTTTATTTTTAAGAACCAAATTATTTTCAAATTAGATGATTTTGATTCAATTTAGGAATTCACAAGAAAGAACAAGTCACATCGGAGAACACAAAGGTGGTTATAATTCATTAGATCAGTAAAAAATCTTAGGGAAAATTTATGATGCTAGAAAGACATAATATTGGAAGACTTTTGACCAATCAAAATCCACTCATGAATTTTGATAAATTCTACATAATTGATTAACACGTTTATGATACATGTTGATTGAACGCAAATTTTTTAGATATCATTTCTTTCCAATATCATAGTCGAACCCAAAATTTTAACTTGTGCTTTTATTTTGAGAAAAAAAAAAGAATGGTTTTGTTGTTTTTAGAATGCCAGTATGGTGGTTTTAAAATGAAGTCAAATTTTGGAGTGTAGATATTGTATTTAATTCATGATACATGATAACAGATCATGAGGATGAAAATATATTTTTTAGAGACTAGAAATTCAAGAATATGTTTTTCGTTTCAATTTTTGAAACAAAAATTATACCCAAAAAAACATCCCAACCGCACCACAATACAAATAATTTTTATATAATATGTATATCGATGGTGCATGATCTGGTGCTCCCTGCTAGAGGACAATTCGAACATCAAAGTAATGAGGTTGGCTGGTCGAGTTGCAAGAATGTAATGATTAGAGTAATTGGGGTGGACACTCTGATGCTAGAAAGTGAGAGAGATTAGAGAGCTTGAGAGATAAACCTTGCATTACTTCTTTGATTGATGGAATGCTTTTATATAGACACAAGTTGTTGCGGACTTCATGTAGCATGTTTGAGATCTCTGAGAAGACGTAGATTATTGGCCTACCAAGCTCAAAGGTGGTTTCACGCTCAGAGACAGCTTCCATGTAAAGTGATAAAGCTTATCCAATTGCCTAGCAGGGTGGGAGTCAGCTCCAGCTCCATTGATGGGGCGATGTGATTCCAAAGAATTCGAAGACGATAATCCACACGTAATAGAGGTCGGCCAACACATTATGCAAATTGCCAACCTAGCCTCAATCAGATCATCGGCGACAAATCGACCCTGGCATTGACTTGACCCAATCAAGATGTCCGTAGATTGGCCTTTCAAGATAGCTAAGATAGGTGAGGTGTGCTTGCAGTATTTCCGAAGTCATTGCCTACGTGGTATTGAGATATCATGCATTGGTTCTAAAATAATACGTGAAGGGCCAAATCACCCTTGATCACATACATACATAAGTTTTTTTGACCATGATATTGAAATGGCATGATATCTAAAAATCTTATCACCAATCTTAAGTGTTAACCAAAATCAGTATGTATTTATCAAAATGGAGGGGAGTGAGGGGGTTTTGATTGGTGAGAGCTTTTCTTGTATCATACCTTTATGGTATCATAGATACCGAAAAATGAAATATATATTGCTAGTAGTTTCTAAATAACAAATATTTAATACAAGAATATAATGGTATGAATTAAAAAACAAACTTGGCGGTGGCTGATTTGTCACGGCAAAGATGCGGATTCCAATCCAGCCAAAGAAAATTTAATGAATAAAATACTAAATGGTATGTTACCGGGCTCTTAAACAAAGCAACGGCCCTATGGGGGGATTCAAGCATTGATTAATACCAAAAAAGAAAAGAAGTAAAAATGTGAGATATTTTTCTTATTATATATTTTATACTTTTTCTGGGGAGATTATTAGGCTGATCAGGCTGTCCATTATCTAAGTTCGAATTTCAATTCCAATTTGGATTTTATTTATTATTAATTTATCTGAGTTTTCTTCCTCTGATTGATTAAGAATTGCTTCTATATATTGTTGACCTCATTAAAAGTCATGTTTGGAAAGCTGGACTTGAATTAAATAGGATCAAACTGAAACCAGACTCAATATGATTCTTTCAAAACTCGCCAAGTCGCCTGTTCTTGATTTTGAGGTTGAACCATCCAATTAGGTTCCTTTTGGTTCAATGGATATATTGATTTACAAAAGTTCAAACTTGTTTTTTTTTTTTTTTCTAGATTTAAGCCAGGTCTAATTTATATCTTCAATTCAAGATTTGGACGCGTTAGGTCATTTTTGGTTCAACTTTCATTGTCGTTCATTCTTTCCAATAGTAAACAAATTCAAATGGACAAAAATGAGTAACAATGAACAGAATGAGAATATATTGCTACACTTGATGGGGGGTAGCACTAGAACGTCCCCACTGATCCACTAGAGTGTTATAATTTAATTCCATCATTGTTCAATGTTTGGTCTGAGTTGGTTTCAAGGCTATTGACTTCGATAGATGCATTGATGATAAGGCCCTTGAGTAGACAGCCATTTATGCTTCCGTATTTCCTTGGATGGGCAACCAATAAGAAAAGGGATTATTTATCACAACTTGACTTGAGCTCCTCTACATAGAATTATTGTTTAGGTTTGATGTTTTTCTTGTTTGGACTCTGCTCACTATTTAAATAACTTTACATTGCTTAGGATATATTGCATTAATAGTAGCCTTGTTTCTTTTTTTAGGCTCAGGTGTCTGGGAAGAGTACATTTGTACAAATATAATTAAATATATACAGTGCAAATATAAGATTTAAAAATATAATATACAAGGTTTTGTACTGGATATATTTGTATTTGTCTTCTTCTCAAACTGAGCTTTAGTTTTTCTTTTTCAGACTAATTATGATGATTTATATTAATAAGGGCCAGGTTTTATCGAAGGAAATTAATGTCTAAACCCTTTTGATATCATAATTCGACTAATTTTTATGGTTCCTTTATTTATTCATTTGCACTGTTATGTTTGTCTTATTTGTTTGTGAAACGAAAATAAGAAGTGAATTATGCACTAAGAAAATGGAGGCAGAGGAATGTTATTTATTTGACAGAAAATTATGGTAGGTGGAACGAGGAAGGTGGTGGTGCAAATTTTGCACCAGCTTTTGGATGCAAAATTTGCACTATCATCAAGTGTCAATGAGACAATGACTGCAAATTATGTATCTAGTAGCAGTATTAATTATAAGGCTCCATTTGGAAAGAGTACACAAATACACATATGTACAATGCAGTTACAGAGATGTAAATTTCAACTGGGTCTAGAATTTTCTCCTATTTAAATTTATATTACAAAAAAACAGTGCCTTACATGCTAAAATTTGGTGTGGGCACAGGTTTGTCCTGATAGAAGCCGATCTCAGGGAGAATTCCTAGGATTCATTTGGTTTATGGTCAGAATCGGAATTTGAATGGTCTATTCCTCTGACCTATTTGGTTCAAATAGGAATCAATTAAAATGGATTCTCATTCTCGAATCTCGAGGGAGGGGAAATGAATAGTCATTCCCTTAAATGGAGTAATGCCATTTCACCGAGAAT